CCGGGCCCATATCCTCACAATTGCTTATAGCGGGGACAAAGTGCTGCAGCGAACCAATCTTCCTTGAACCGAACTCAGCAGAAGACAGGCCGCCTAGAATTGAGACTGGAGAGCCCAATGAAGACGCGAAGAATTTGATGTCGCATGTAACCAACGCGGTTCGCGGCACTCCTGCGAAACCCTCTGCATCGCCTTCGCGAAGAGGGTGGTCCAGAAGATACGCTGCGACTTCGCGAAACGCGCCTTCGCCAACGCGAGTTCCACGCTTCAGTCCTTCGCCCGTTAAACTCGGCGGCATACCTCGAGGGCAATTCCAAGCCAACGGCTCCTCATCCATCGGCTTAAAAACCGCAATGCGCGATTCGCCGGTCACATCGCGAAGCATGTAAGTGCCGCCAGAACCGTCCGGGGTAATTTCGGGAACCTGACCGGCTAACAATCCCGCGCTGACATCAGCTAAAGCACTTTGTACGGCGGCGCTCTCTGCAGGACTACTACAGCCAAAACCAGTTGACTCGACTATTGAAAAACTATCGGTCTGAAGGAGAGAGCTGTCGGTACTGGTCCTCGTTGCGAGCCCGCGGCACGGGTGAAGCCGTTGCTGGAACGATTGAAGGCACGGCTGGGCGACTGACTGTACGTTGGTCAAGGACGGTGACATGGACTGCACAATGACCGCCATATTTGTTGGAAGTTAAGGCCGAGCGGAGACTAAGGGAGGCGGAGATGGTGGTGGTGCTAGGTGTGGACTGAACTTCAGCGTTTCCCTCAATTAGCAGCTATGGTGCATTATTGTTGAGCCAGGAGACTGATTGCTAGGGAGGCTGTGCGACGGGATAAAAGTGGTGCGGTCGATGGTGCTGTTACGGCTGGAGTGAGGCTTGGCTAGGTGGGCCAGGAGGAGAAGCTGCTTTGGGGTTTCAATTCAAACTGGCTGTCTTTCTTCGGGGACGTTTACCTGGATTATCTCGTGGAAAGCTGTTTATGAACAGCCCTGTCCTGTCCCACTGCGACCTAAATGCCGTCCAGGTTGATTTCCACGCAGCTGTGACCAGTTTTGTTGGTTTCAGTCTACGTTCTGGAAATCTTTAGCGAAATTACCAGACTGGACTTCCAGTTGCGTTCTCAGCGTGAAATTCTCATAATCGATTCTCCGTCGATTGGGACAATTGTGCCAAATTGTCTGGTCTCACTGGATAGAAATATGATTCTCGTACGAAATAATAGCAGAGTCTTCCCATCCGCACCTGGCCAAATGCAAGAGTGTCTCACGATGAAAAGGAACCCTGGTCCCAAACCGAAAGAAACCCCCATGCGGGTGGTAGGTTTTTCTGTTCATGGGCCAGCTAGCATTCCTTGGAAAGCTGGAACTGCAAAGCGTGTCAATGATTCGTCTGACTGGCAGAACGGTAGGTTCAAAGCTGGAAGCTGTGGGTCAGCAATCAACGCGTGGTTCCCGATCAACGTGATTGGTGGCATACGTCGAACACCGTCACTCATGTGCATTTCATACGTCGGATGCGGTCACATGCACGTGAAGAATTGAGCGGCAGCACGAAATTCGAACAGATTCGCACAGTTGGCAGTGGAGCTCGCGACGTTCGTAGAACCTGGAGCTTGGCTTCTAAGAAGCCATGCAGCTCGGTTTGACCCCATGACAAGGTTGGCAGAACCATGTACGAACACAAGCTAATTGTACAAAACAGCACATTTGTAAATGACGTATACAAGTGACATACGTGATAGGTTTCACATGACATCGGGTACCAAGCATATATACACTAAAATTGACTATATATAATATCTTTGATTTTTTATATGGTTTATTTGGCTAAAGACTATATATGCATAAACCCTTCCTAGAAGTGTCTTACTACCTCAAACATCAAAAGACCATCGCCAAAACCCGAAACAAAGTATTGCTTCCTAAGACATCTACAGCCGCATGTCGACCAAGTAGGGCACGTCCACCCATGGTGCTCCCTCTCCAAACTCCTGCTCCCCACCCCCTCGCTCCACCCACTCCGCCTCGGACTGACCCAACGTGTATGCCGCCCGCAAAAGAATATAGAGAATATATATTTAGTACAGCTTCAATTGAAGGGGACATGCGTGTGCTCACTGTCTTTGTATAGCTGATGCTCTTGTGGGTGCTCGCGCCATCCCACTGACTCTGACAACCGAATTCAAACTTTGGCGGGAGACACTCGAAGCTACTACTGTCTGGCGCGCGGTTCCAGCCTTTCGCCGTTTTCCCAAAAGAAGCACCCAGCAACACCGCACCTTGCCTGCTCCCCCAAGCCAAACCTTTCGCTACATGGGGTTGTTCCTCGCCCTGCTTGCGGCTCAATCAAGGCCCGTCAAACTTGAACCGAACCAGCAATGACAGTCTCGAGGGGAATTCTCTGTCAGACCTTGGGGAACTCGCAGCAAATTGGCCGACTCGAGCTCAAACACCCTTCTAGCCTGCACATGTGCAGCACCCTGTCACACACCACGGATGGAACTCATTTCCTGATCACTACTTCGAGTTCCCACGATTTTCCGATTCTAGAGTCTGCGTGTTTCTGGTTCGAGTAGGACGCAGGGCTGTCCTTGAAAGCACATTGTGTCTGAAAATAACAACGCGGGACATGTGATAGAAATACTAGGCTCTATTGGAAATTCAAGCAAGTCAGCGTCCTGGAATATCCCATTATCAGTCAAGGCCCACGACGCAGCGCTAGCCGTGATTCATCGATGAATATGTCACAAAATCGATATTGTTGAACAATACCTCCTCGTTTAGGCGATCAGCAGCAATGACGAATTCCACCAGCAAGCAGATAAGGAAGTCGCCAGTATTGAAACCGCGACCTCTCAGTTCCTCTATTAGCCCTCGGAAAGATTCGCGCGGCGGTGCAGCAAGCCCTAGAAAGGGGATCCTTTCGACTGGCAGTGGTAGAAGCTCACGTGGGGAAACGAGGAACGGAGCTGAGAAGGAGAACAGCAACGGCGGGAAGAACGGCGAGCGGAACGGCAACAGGTCAGCTGCACCAGCAGCAGCAGCAGCATCAAAAGTTTCCGATCGTCCTTTGAACCGGGGTTCTGCTTTCGCGGGTGGGAACGGGAAGACCCATCAGACGAACGAGAATCGACGGAACTGTGTGAGCGAAGACCGGGACGGCCATCGAGAAAACGGACGGAAACAGACTGAAAACCGTCTGGTCGGAGAAGAGGGGAGGCGTGGAGCAAGCGAGGGGGGATGTATTCTTCAGGAGATGAATGGATCAGCCTACGTTCAGCCGTTTCAGGAATCTCAGGTTGTAGAATCTCAAGGAAGCGGAATAGGGATCAACGCAGGGATGGGCTCTGGTAGTAGATTTGCCACGGAGCAGGCTGACGTGGCAGGGGTGGATCCGCAGAGGCAGTTATCGCAGCCAGCAGGAAAATCAGGGAAGGCTCTTAGCGGGAAAACGGAGGGGATTGCAGCGGGGAGATGTGTCGGCGAAGTGGTGGAGACCGTCGCTGAAGTCGCACGTGCCGTCGCAGGCGATGGTGTTGGCGACATCGCTGATATCCCGGCGACGCCGCCGGCGTCGCATCGACCGCTGAACCTAGCCCCGCTGATCGTATGCGAAGACTCGCCGTCGCTTGCGTTCAGCATATCCCCCTCTCCTTCCCTCTCCCCTTCACCCTCGTCCTCTCCCATACTTCCGCACCTCTCCGTAGCACCTCCTGTCCCTAATACCCCACCTAGCCCTCTCGACACGTCAGCTCCTAATCTCAATGAACTCTCTCAACTGAAAGACGCCTCACTGACCGTCCTGAATCCGATGAACCGGACCGTTTCGCCGACACCGCAGACAGAGTGTGCTCTAGACGGTCTGCAACCGCCGCATCTGCCGCCGGAAAACCCGCAGCCAATGGCAGCTTATTCCCGTGCCGATGTTCCTGCCGATGTGAACGCAGCATTCTGCGAAGCTTCGCAAATTCCTCTTCCGGTTGCCCAACAGTTGCCTCTTCAGGTGCCTTCTCAGGTAACGAGCAACCCGGGAGGCGATCCGCATGGAAGCGCGGACCCCGCAGCCTCGGCGTCTGCGAATCCAACGGCTAGTTCAGCGGCATGGAATCCAACAGCTAGTTCTGCGCAAAATTCGCTGGCGAATCCAGCGGCGAACCCAGCCCGCCCGCGGATCGTGCGATCCTCCTCCTCCGACTCCTTCCATCCGCCCGCCTCACTCGGCGACGCGCCTCATAACGCGACCCGTCGGTTCCCGCATGCTGCTACTCCTGGCACCCCCACAGCCTCCAGCGCCGCGGCCAGTCGCCTGTCGTCGCGCCTCGGCTTTAATTTCTTCTCCAGAGGCCACGCCAATGCTTCCCCCTTGCGCTTCCGCGGCCGAAACACGAGCGGAAGCGGCGGCGGCGGCGGTGGTGGCGGTGGCAGCGGTGGGGGCGGGGTGGGCTCTAGTTGCGAAGAGTGGGAGGAGATGACGCACGGACGGCCGCCGTCGCCCTTGTCGCCTTCATTCGAGGCGACTCAAAAGCAGTCGCAGGGACGGTCGCCGTCGCCGTGGTCGCGAGGGCTCAGCAGAGTTCGCGGGCTGGTGTCGCCGCGGAGAGGAAGGAGGTACGATGATCCTGCTGCTGCTGCTGCGGGTGGTACTGCTGGTGGTGATGAGGGTCGCGGGGTGGAGCAGATGTATCAAAACAAGTCTGCTACTGCGACTGTTCCTGCTGTGGCTGATGCTGCTTCTCCTCCTCCTGCTTCCGCGAATCCGGAGCCTCACCGCCGAGGCTTGGGCTCGCCGAGGCTGCGCTCGTGGCTCGGGTCTCCAGAAGTGCCTATGCTGCCGCTGCGGCGCGGCCTTGGCGTGCGCTGGCACCGAACCTCGTCTGCTTCGGTGGTAACCGCAACCACCGGCCCCATGCCGGTTACCACCACCACTAGCCAGGTCAATACACATCATCCCAGTGCTGATGTTTCCACTAGCAGCAACGCCGGCCCATACACAAATATGACCGTGCCTAATTTTAGTAACCCTGCTATTTCTAGCACCAGCACCAGTGCGTTCTCTAGTGCGGGCAGCAGGGCGAGAGCTGCTGCGAGTTCGGATGCTGAGTCTGCGAGACTCGTGCGTCCACTGGGGGGAAGGAGGACAGATGAACAGCTTCACCTTGCTCCCGCCTCTGCTACCGGCAAATCTGCGACCCCGTCGGCTTCGGCTGCTTCGTCCTCTCTCGCGGCGGCTGCTGCGGCGGCCATTGCGGAGTACAACGCGCTCGTGGAGCAGAGCGTCGCAGCAGCACCTGACAAAACACCTGAAGAAACGCCTGAGGAAACGCCTGAGGAAACACCTGGAGAGGCAAGGGCGCCCGTGCCTGCGTGCACGACGCACGACGGCGCAACAGGGCCAATTCGTCCGCATGTGCCCCTACCCCAGAAGGTACTAGCACGAACGGTGTCAGACCCTGGGGGTGGTACCCCTGCCAAAACACAGCAAGCCACTGAAACGGCTGTAGCGGCAGGTGGTGAGGGTGAGGGAGGCACGCGTAATGAGGAAGGTGGGCAGGGTGGGAGTAATGGTGGTGGTGGTGGTAACAGTGGTGGTGGGGGTCGCGGTAGTGGTAATGGTGGGGCGCTGCTGAAGTGGCTGTCGTGGGGTAAGGCGAAGTTAGGCGGAAAGGGAAACTCTAAGCGGCGCAAGGGGAGGGAGGAGCAGCAAGGCAGCAGCGACGAAGCGAAGGGGCGGGCTGCGGAGGAGATTAATGGGCGGGATCGTGGTAGTGAGGCGAGGGGCGGCGGCGGCGGCGGCGGCGGCGGCGGTGGTGGCGATGCACGGGGAGGGGGGGGTGGATGGGTAGGTTCTGGTAGTGGTGCTGTCGTCGTTGGTGGTGGTGGCGGTGGTGGTGGCGGTGGTGGTGGTACTGGTGATGTTGGTGGTGCTGGTGATGATTCCTTCTCTGCCGCGAACTCTGCTTCAAGAGCTACTTTGGACACGTGGCTGCACGAGACCGAGGTGCATGAGGATGGGAATGACGTGGAGGATGCTGACGTGGAAGGATTAGGTGATGATGAGGTGGAACAGAGGGTTGCTGAATGGAGGGTTGTGCTGGTTGGGGAGGAGGAGGAGGAGGTGGAGAAGGAGAAAAAGGAAGGGGAGGAGAAAGGGAAGGAAGAGAGGGAGGATGATGAGAAAGAGGAGAAAGGGGAGGGAGAAGAAATAGGGGAGGAGGAGGAGGAGGAGGAGGAGGAGGAGGAGGAGGAGGAGGAGGAGGAGGAGGAGGAGGAGGAGGAGGAGGAGGAGGAGGAGGAGGAGGAGGAGGATGGGCATGAAACGGAGATGGAGGATACCACCACCAGGGGTGCAGTCACGGATAAAGCGGGTGAAAGGTGTTACTCTGCCGGCCAAGGTGAAGGGGGAGATGGGGAGAAGGAAGGAGGAGAGAGCGCGAGAGAGAGGGAAGAGGAGGAGGTGGAGGGGAAGGGGGAGAGGAAAGCGGATGGGAGAGGGGTAGATGAGGGGGAGGAGGAGAGTGAGGGAGGGCAGAGAAGTGATGTGGTGGGAATGGGTTCAGAAGGGTTTCACTTTGACGTGACTTGCAATCAGGCAGAGGAGGACGACGAGGGGAGCGTTGACGGTGTAACTGCCAGGACTGCTGGAAACGCCTTTGAATCCAAGGCTCTACCAACCAGAGGCTTGATTGGAGAGGAGGAGGGCGAGAAGGGAGAGGAGGAGAAAGAGGAGGAGGAAGAGGAGGAGGAAGAGGAGGAGGAGTTGAGGGAGAGGCAGCAGCAGGAGTGGCAGCGGCAGTGGCAGCTGCAGCAGCGGCGGATAGGCTTAGTGGTGTCAGGCGGAGAGGATACAGAAGGGGGTGATATTAACGGGGGGAGTGGCAACAGAGGGGGAGGCAGCAGAGGCAAAGGGCAGGGAGATACTGCAAAGGGAACAAGACAATCGGCACCCTCATCCCCAGCACGAGACGACTCGTGCGTGTCGTTTGCGCAGTGGGTGCATCTGCGCGGTTCCCCCTCCCGCGGTTCCCCCTCCCGCGCGTCCTCCGCCGCGCACAGCCCCGCGCCTGGGCTCCCCATGCGCGCGTCCGCCGCTGGCGCACGCGCAGCAGCTGCTGCTGCAGCCGCGCGCGCAGCAGGCGCTGGCGCGTCTGGCAGGGGAGTGGGCGGAAACGGGGGGCGGAATCGCGCAGGAGGAGCTACAGGAAGCGATTCTATTGGTTGGGAGAGCAGAGGAGGAGGGAGCGTGGGGGGAAGTGAGGAGGAAGGGAGTGTGTTTTTCGAGTCGACTCCAAGATCAGCTCTTTTCTCGGAGAATCAGGAGGAGGGGGTGGGGAAGGAGGGAGAAGAGGAGGCAACGAGCCTGCCTGTTGCAGCAGCAGTAGAGGGAACCTCACCACCACGAGCAGTTGCAGCAGCAGCATCAACAGGAGAATCCTCGGCTGCTGCAGCAGCGGCAGCAGTTGCAGCAGCAGCAGCAGCAACAGCCCCAGCAGCAGGAGAATCCTCAGCTGCAGCAGCAGCAGCAGCAGCAGCAGCGGGGACGGCAGCAGCAGGAGGAGCAGCAGCAGCATCGGTGCTGCTGGCGGCACTGAAGCAGACGGCAGCAGAGGAGCAGCGGAAGGGCACGGGTGTGAGCAGCAGCGTCTCGTTCCTCCCCCTCCGCGCCTCCTCCCCACTTGCGAGACCCAAGCAATCCCAGGTGCAGGCGCAGACACAAACGCGGATCCAGGCGGAATCAGAGGTTGAAAAGCTTAGTACGGTGGTAACCAGCAACCAGAGGGATTTTGGTAACGGTAACCAGATTAGTGGTGGTAACCAGGGTAGTTGTGCTAATCCGTTTGCTGAAATGCCCTCCGTCCCCTCTACAAGCACCAACCCGTTCCTGTGCAGCAGCGACTCGTTTGGAGACGAGCCGGGCAAGGGCAGCAGTGGGGGATACGGTGCTGGCTGCTTTGGCGAAGTGGGAAGCGAAGTTGCTGGTTACCCTGTTATGCTACCTCACATTGACACTCCTGGAATCGTCAACACGAATCCGTTCGCAGCAGCAGCTGCAGCAGAGGCCGAGGAGGAGCATACGTGGCAGGCGCAACTGGGGCAGGTGCTACCTGGGCAGGTGGTATCTGGGCAGGTCGTATCTGGGCACGTCATATCTGGGCAGGTCGTATCTGGGCAGGTCGTCTCTGGGCAGGTTTCGGGTGCTAGTGCAAACGTCAGCAGCAAGACTCTACCACCGTCCCTCTGGCCTGCATACCCTGCGTCCCCATCCTCCCCCTCTCCTGTGTCCCGCCCTTCCCAGTCCCCTCCCCCTGTCCCTTCCGCCGCCCCTTCCCCTGCCCCTGCCCCTGCCCCTGCCCCTACAGTTGCCCCTACTCCTGCCCCTCCTTCTGCCCCTGCCCTGGCCTTTGTCCCTGCCCCTCCTCCTGCCCCTTGCCCTGCTCCTGCCACTTCCCCCGCCCTCTCCTGTGCTACTGTCACTGCTCCCACTTCTATTGGCGCTTCCTCTATAGTCACAATCGCAGTTTCAGCCGATCCTAAGTTTCCTGCAGTTGCAGGTGTGGAGAGCGGTGCAGGGAAAGACGAGAGCACTTCAGAGTCGACTCACAGGGAAGGAGAGAGCAGGGCGACGAGTGAGGGGCAGCAGGGGACGGGCAGTGCAAGGGAAGACGAAAGGACTTTGGAGACGACTCAAACGGAAGGAGAGGGCAGGGCGATGAATGAGGGGCAGCAGGGGCCGGGCAGTGCAGGGAAGAAGCGAGTGCGGTTCAGAGCGGTGGGTGCAGAGGGGGATGAGCCAGAGGAGGGTGGAAACCAAGCAAGGGAAGACGATAAGGCCATGGGAGGTTCGCCCAGTGGTAACCAGACAGGGGCATGTAACCAGACGAAAGGTGGTAACCATCAGAGGGCAGGTTCGCCTGGGCGGGTGGGGACTGCACCCCTGGGTCTATCGCAGCACATATGCTGGGTGCCCGCTTCTAAAACTGCTGATGCAGATCGTGAGTCACCAGACCAGTCACTGGACCAGACACCGAACCAGACACCGAACCAGACGCCGGTCTTGGGTCAACGAGTTGGTCCGGAGCAGGGGCGTCCTGATGCTGCTGCGGTGGGTGCCGTGGCCGGGCAGGTTGCTGGTCGTCAAGAGAAGGAAGGGGAGGGAGGGACGGCGGATGGAGAGGTGAGAAATGCCTTCAGCCCAAGTGGCAATAGCAGCAGCGGCGGTGGCGGTGGCGGCGATGGCAGCAGAAGGAGTGACAGCAGTGGGGTTCCGAAGCTGCTAGTGCCATGCCCCCCTGTCACCCCTCGAAACAGCTCTCCCCGGAACAAGTCGGCGGGAGGGGCGGCAGCGGGAGCAGCAGCACGGGTAGCAGCAAAGGCAGCTATGGCTGCTAGGGGTATCACTGGTGGTACTGCAGTCAAGAGCGGTACCAGCTGTGTTTCAGTCGAAAGCAGTGGTGGGAAGGAGGAGGCAAGAGGAGGGAAGGGCGATGGTGGTGGTGGTGGTGGGAGTTTGGAAAGAAGCAACAGCAGCAACAGCAAGGGCAGCAGTAGAGGTGGTAACCCTGTTACTGAGGCGAATCAGGGCGCGTTTGGAGCTGCGAATCTCGCTAAGGGAGGAAATGACAGTAAGAGCAGTGCTGGTCAGCAATCAAAGGTCTGTCAGCTCCCAGGCTCCTACCGCAAGCCTCGCACCGCTCCCAACCCCTTTGAACCCTCCTCCACCCCTTCCCCTTCCGCCAAATCACCCCTTTCTGACAGCCCCTCCCCTGCGCCCAACGCCGCCCCTGGACCCCCTTCCCCCGCCCCTCCCCCCGTCCGCCCGCGCTCCCCCTCCCCCTCCGCCTCCTCCGCCCTCCTCGTGGCACTTTCCCCCCGAAGGTCCCCGGGGAGGGTGTGGGGGGGGATGGGGAGGAGAGGGTATGAGGTGGGGGGGTTGGAGGTGTGTGGGAGTGATGGGGATGAGGAGGATGGGGGGGGGCAGGCGAGGACAGGTGCAGAGGAGTGGGAGAAGGAAGGGAGTGTGATAGGGGAGGGGAGTGTGGTGGGGGAGGGGAGTGTGGTGGGGGAGGGGAGTGTGATGGGAGAAGAGAGTGTTGTTGGCGAGGGGAGGGTTTTTTGGGAGGGGAGTGTGGTGGAGAAAGAAGAGAGAGTGGATGTGGTGTGTGAAAGGGTGGGAGGAGCGGAGGGAGGAAAATGGAAGGATGAGGTAGGGGGTGGAGGAAATATGGAAATAGTACCAACCGGGCCTGGAGAGAGAGTGGTGAAAAGTGGGGTGGTTAAGGTGGAGGAGGGAAAATCGAAGGGGAATTTACCCCGAACGCCATCCCCCCCTGCAGGGCCAAAGCCCAGTTCGTGTGGTGGGAGAGGAGGGAGAGGTGGTGCAGTAACCGGTGCCGGAGCAAGAGCAGGAGCAGGAGGAGGAGCAGTGGGAGCCGGAGCAGGAGGAGGAGCAGGAGGAGGAGCAGGAGAAGCAGGGGGGCGGAGTGGGCGGCGAGGGAAAGAGAACAGTGGAGAAGCTACTATGGGCCAAGAAGAGGATTCCAGGCCTGGAGATGGGCTTGGGGAAGAGGACGTGTCTTACAGTGGGAGTGAACTAGAGGGAGGAAGTGCATCAGAGGGAGGGAGTCCTCTAAAGGGAGGGATAGCATTAGGAGGAGCAGTAGAAGGAGGGAGCTCGCCAGGAGGAGGAAGGCCCCGTGTTCCTTCCCCTCCCACTGGTCCCCGCCCGAAATCCCCCCTGGGGCAGCTCAACGCACGGAGGAAAGTGGCTCGCTCGCTCACAGTCGCACTCAATAAGAGCATGTCTCTCCCATCGCCCAAGGAGAGTGGCGGCGCCGTTAACAATACTGCCAGCAGCAACATCAACAACGACAACACCAGCTGCAGCACCACTGCTGCCGCTGCCACCAGTTGCGGCACCACTGCCGCTGCCGCCACCAGCTGCAGCAGCATCCGGAGCGACAGCAGCAGGAACTCCCTCCCTGCCTCCACCGCAACCCAGTCAGTCTCGGGTTCAACAGGGAAGCAGCAGTTCAAAGCTCCTCAGAAACAGCCACCGCCCCTAGTGCCACCCCGAAAGCCGGCGCCTCTGAACAGAGGCATAATGGGAAGGCCAGCAGCAGCAGCGTCCGTTGTACCAGTTGCTGCTGGAAAAACATCCACGTCACCCGGGAAATCCACCGAGGTATCTCAGAAATCGCCTGGCGGTACGAAAGCGGCTACGTCGCCCCGGAGGTGTGCCTTTGGGCGGTCGACACCTGTCCCTCCTGTGAGATCAAAGTCTGGTGGTTCTCCTGGCAGGCGGGCTTTGTCCCCTGCTGCGGGTAAGCGGGCGGCATCGTCTGTCTCTGTCTGCTCTGCCAACTCCATTGGCTCGATTGTGTCTCCTCGCCCCTCCTCAGCTGCAGCTGCTGCTAGTGCTTCTACTGGTGCTACTGATGCTGCAAGGAAGGCTGAGAGCGAAGGTGCATTCACGTACAGTATGGTTGACGATGGTCTGGTTACCAGCAGCAGCATCCGAAGCAGCGCAACCACTGCCAGCACATGCACGACTAGGAAGAGGACTGCCGTGGCTGTGGGAGAGGATTATGCTGATGGTGCCTGTGGAGGTGTGAGGGATGGTAGCAGCGTGGTGAGTCCAGAGAAAGACATGGATGGAAGCAGGGCGGGCATCAGTGATGGTAGAGGCGATATCCAGATGTGACATCCACAGTACCATGTGAGTTCCTTTTAGTGTGATAAGTTTCTTACACTTAGCCTTTGTCTTGTTTCGATTCATTTTCTCATGTCTTATGTGTGTTTCTGCATGAATGTGGCTCTGACAGCCATTTCAATGAATTTCGGCTCTTCCATCAATCTACTTTTTTTGCTGTCTAAGCATCTTAGCTTACCCACTTGCACTAGGCTAGTTTCATATGTATTGGATAGCTTGGATATAAATTAGTTTAATAGCTTATACGTACTGTCTGTTATCTGGCACACGAGTGTCTGGCGCGTACGCAAATATGTGAAAATGACGTCCCGATACAGGTCAGGCCAAACCCAGATTATGAAATGCGCTCTAGGCTTGTTCCTCGAAGACATGGCGGTCTGGTGCGATGCGAGGAACTAAGACACGCGCCAGGAGGACGCAAAAGGGAAGTCCCTCGTCCCTCGTCCGTCGAGAATCCATCGGCAAGCCTCGTCCATGCCTCGTTGCAGCATGCACAGCATGTCAGGCTCCTGCGAGATACTACCATTATGCGACGCGACGCGGGCTATCTCCGCCACCTTTTCAGTCATGACGAGCTGAATCTTGAGCCTGTGTGGGATAAGCGCTAACTCTGGTTTCCGTATACTACAGAAGCTTAGGAGGTTGTCTGCGTTCATAGTCATGCTAGAGTGCAGAAGACCTTTCTTGTCAACTGGACCACTAGTCTCTCCTCCAGAATCAGTTGGATCTTATTCGCTGTTTCGAACGAGCATTCTTTACGTCGATGCCAGTGAGATTCTTGCAACTCTCCGCGTGTCTCTTCCAAGCAGAATCTCAAAGAGCGATCGAGTGGGAAGGTTCTCTGAGAATAGGGAGCTGCGTCGTCACGTCGCAGCATGTCCGACATTCCTGAAGCTTCGCAGAAATCGAGTCGCAGCATCATGTCACACGCTCCTCCGGGTTCTTGTAGCGAGCTTGCCGTAGAACTCGCGCTCGAGCGGGTCCCGAGGGTGCGCGATCTCGTCCGGTGCGCAACGGTCAGCAAAGCATGGGCCGACGCCGTTGCGCGAAGCGTTCTGCACGTGAGGGTGGACTGCACGAGCGGAGGCATATTCGGGCCTGCTTCCGTTTCCGAAGGAGCAGATGGTGACGAGGAGTCCAGTAACAAGTACAGAGGCGACGGGCTTACGTACAAGACGTTTCTTCAGGCCATTCGAGTTTTCTGGCAGCTGACGTCACTCACGGTTACCAGCTTCCACCAAGCGTTCGGCGACGCGTTTCTGGAAACCCTAGCCTCTTCCTGCCCTGTTCTCCAAGTCCTGGACCTTTCCTGCATGTGCTATGGCGAAGGCGACGACGAGGTTACCAGCTCGGGTTTGAATTCGCTGTTCGTGGAATGTCTCCAGCTGAAACGGCTCTCTTTGCAACTCGGTCATGATGGTAACGTCGGCCACGTCAGTGCTAAGCAGAAGATCTCTAAAGGACTGAGGGCTGCTTGTAGTGCGTCAGCGTGGAGCCGACATGGCCATGCTGACGTGGCATGGAGCGAGTCCGCGCTAACTATTCCCTCCTCGATAATGCAGCTGTCTTCTTTGGAAGCTCTGGAGATTCAAACGGACAGATGTGTGGTCTTGGGATTGGATCGCCATTACCATGATCAACCCAAGGGAAGATTTCGGCAGTGTGATTCAACCACAGCCGTGATAATTGAGCATCTCAGCATCAGCTGTCCTCCAGAGGCATCAACACACTGTCGACCTTTCCTGCCATCCTCAATCACTCAGCTGCAGCTGTCGTCATCACATCACATCATCCTTCCAGACATCTCCTGTGGTCAGCTCAATGATCGTTCCAATCATCGGTGCAATTCTCACTGCAATTATCACTCCGGCTTTCCAGACCAGGCTCAGGTTGCCGCTATTGGTTCAGCCTCCCCCACCAATCCCCAACCTACCGCAACCATCTGGTGGCCTCGACTCAAATCCGTGAAGCTCAGCGTTTGCTGTGACGTCATGTTTTCCAAACTAGCATCGCTCTTCCATCAGGAGCTGACGTCACTGAGCCTGTCAGCCAATCGTGCAACCATGTGTGACATTTGGTGCCACTCTAGTGGTTCCACTAATCCCAGCGTTGCTTCAGCTAAGGGATCTGATGAATCTGGCGCTATTGGGGCTGCGAACTTTAAGTTTGGTTCCCCGGAGCAGCCTTGCAGCAGTTTGGTGCTTCCAACCACATTAAGCATTTCAAGATTCCAGATTTCTCAGACAGAGAATGACACAGAAAAACCACTTGTTTCCATGCACCCAGCTCCCACATTCGCCTTTCCTGCAACCCTCACCTCCTCGTATTCGCGTCTCCGTTCACTGCACCTGGACCAATGCCCTGACACTGCCCTCCCTCCCTCCCTCCTCCCCTCTCTCACACGCCTGACTGCCTTCTCCTTCACCCACTGTCGTCATCTGACAACCCTTCCACCGACCATCAGTTTCCTCTCCTGTCTCACATCCCTTCACATGCATGCATGTCATGCTCTGGACTCCCTCCCCCCTGAAGCCCTCTGTCTGCCTGGACTCAGGTCCCTGCATCTTACCAATTGCAGGAGACTGGAGAGTGTGGGCAAAGCCGTAGTGAGCGCTGGTAATGTGGGAGTGTTCGGTGGTGGTAGCGGTGGTGATGGCTGCAACGGCCCTATTGCGATACAAGAGGTGGTTTTGCAGGAGTGTGTTGGATTGCGTTACGTGAACTGGGAGGTTTTGTTGGTGAAGACACTGCAGGTTTCACCAGATGTGGCTATTGAGATGAATGTTGAAGGATGCTCCGAGTTGAGGGGCATTGATGGTGTTATGTGTATGATGGGGCGCTCTAGTGGCAGCATCGTTCTTCCAGATGGAGACAAGTGGTATTCCCAGAGGAGAACAATGTGTAGGAGCAGATCTCCCCCGGAGATGTCGGGTGGTATGGATAGATGTGTCGTGATTCAAATATAGCAAGTGATGTATTGAAATTGATGGCATCATTGAATCCAAAATCACGTGGCTTTATCAAAGCTGAGTTAACCACCTGAGAAAGACTCTGCATTTGCAACAACTCTGTATTGCTTTGCACACTCCGTTTAGCTTATTTTACTGGTGATTGTTTTTCTAAAAGAGCAACCAAAACAATATAAGCAAGACTTTCCTGCGCAAGTGCATGTACGCCTCGTGGCGTGTCCATTGGGCAGCCATCCAGCTCCATTTATTGCCTTCGTCACACAGAAGGAAGGTGCATTTTGCCATGTTTGATACGTCACGGTTCTAGCTATAAACATTACGGTTCTTGACGGTTGTTTGGCGGTTGACGTGGTTCAACTTGTGACCGTGCTAAACCGTGAGGGAACAAGCTGAACCGACTAGAACGACATGAAAGTCACACGCACATTGTGAACTGAATTATGATTCGAGCCGCTCCGTTGTAGGCGCTAACTCCAATATGTGAGCATAACAGCAGACATGGCAGAGTCTTCTAAACATAAAGAGCCAGAGCGACAGTTGTTTGATATCCTCTTCCTCGCCGTCCCTTTAGCAGATCCGTTTCGCTTAGTATCCAATAGTAGCTTGCCGATCCGCTGGTTGTCAGTGTGTTTCTCGCTTTTATTTTGGCGCCATGAAGGCACTCACCGCATCACTGCCCCGTCTAACGAGGCGCACAATAACGAGCCATTTCTTTTCAAGCAACGCAGAAGTTGACTCGTTGGATCTGTATCCGCTGCTCGTGTCGCGATTTTATTCGATCGCGTCAATCTCGAGGGGCTACGTCGCGTCGAGCCGCGATGCTGACCCCGCAGCAACAGCAACGGATGACAACGTGTCGTCCGCTGGAAGAAAATTCGGCGAGGGAGGCGCGGGAGGAGCGAATCGCGCAGATTTGAACACAGAGGGGCGCGAGGCCGCGTCGCGGAGCAACCCCATGGCGGCGCGGCTTCGCAGCCGAGGCGTGATCCGATTCGACGGTCGCGATGCGATCAACTTCCTGCAGGGCCTGCTGACCAATGACGTCACCCCGTTTCTCCAGCAACCCCCCCCGGTGGCCTCCCCCGTCCCCACGCCCAATCAACCCGCCAGCGTGCATCCGCCCATCTACTCCGCGCTTCTCTCCCCGCAAGGCCGGTTTCTCTACGATCTTTTCCTCTACCGCCCGCCACACTCGGTGAGACTCATGATCATGTGCAAATCCGGCACTTTTTGGCCTATTCCTGTACCGACCGCCGCACTCGGTGAGACTCATGATCATGTGCAAATCCGGCACTTTATGGCCTATCCCTGTACCGACCTTCATCGTTCTTCCCCCACCAAACTGACCCTTCAAACGTGTCCATCCCTTTCTCCCCATGATGTAGTATCTTCTCGTTTGGTTTTTCTCTGAAGCTGCTTGGTGAATGAACAGGAATAAACGCAGGTTCTTACCTTCTCTTCACCCGACGCTACCTCACCCCACCGCTCCCCACCTTTCTCTCCAGGATGCGGTGTCGAGTCGGTTGGATCCGACAGGAGCCGGTCCAGATACAGGCAACCCAGACGCACCTGAGCTCCTGGCGGATGTAGATGCAGCGAACCTGGACGACCTGCTGGCTCACCTGAAGAAGTAGGTTTTTTCTTTTGTGTGCTCTCTTTCCTTCTTATTTTCCTTTGTATTTTATATTCACACTGTATTTAGAAGTGTAGTCTTGATTGTGTTTCCAATCCAGGTCCCATGCTCCCCTTACCTTTGCACCCCCGTGTCATCCCTGCCGCTCCTTCCCCCCCCTGCCATCCCCACGCCCCCTTATCCACAGGCACAAGCTGCGTGCCAACGTGTCATTCGCTGATGTGTCCGCTGACGTGGCAGTATGGGCGCACTTCCACTCGCGCCTCTCCTCCGACCCAGCACTCCCAGACGAGGCAGCAGCGGGCGAGGGGTTGGGGTGGGGCGGCAGAGTGGATCAGTTGGGAGAACTGACTGCAGAAGCCACAAGAGAGGGATGGCGGTGGCATCGTGACCCCAGGTTGCCTGGCTTGGGGCTCAGAGGGCTCTTCCCTGCCAGTGAAATCCGTAAGTTGATTCTGAAGCATCTGGGTAGGGTTGGGGTGGGGTGGGGTGGGGTGGGCGGTAGCGTCAGCTGGGAGGGTTGACAGCAGAGGCAACATGGGAGGGGTGGCGGTGGCATGGGGTCCTCATGCTGTCTGGACTGGGTTCAAGAGGGCTCTTTCTCGCTAGTGAAATTTGGACGTTTGTTCTGAAGTAACTGGGAGGGGAGGGGGTGGGGTGGGGTGGGGTGGGGTGGGATGTAGTGGGGTGGGGTGGGGTGGGATGTAGTGGGGTGGGGTGGGGTGGGGTGGGGTGGAGTGGGGAGGGGGGAGGGCCGACAGCTGAAGCCACGAGGGAGGGGTAGCGGCAGCATCGTAATCCGATTTTATCAGGATTGGGTGTAAGAGGCTGTTTTGCGCTAATGGAATCCGTGAGTTTGTTTCTAAAACAACTGGGAGGGGAGGGGAGGGGGTAGGGTGGGGTGGGGAGGGGGGGTAGCCCATGGGTGGATGCACAGGTGGGGGAGGGGGAGGAGATCTGCAGAAGATTCCAATTCTTCGTAGGAGAGGGATTCAGTGTGGTGATGTGCGATTCTTAACCGTCCTCTTCACTCTCATTCCCCTTTTTTCACTTACCACCAGCCCCATTGGTGGATGCACAGGTTGAAGAGGGGGAGGAGAGCTACAGGAGGTTTCGGTTTGCAATGGGAGTGGCGGAGGGGTGCGAAGAGATGCCAAGATGTATGCATTGCGATGCAGGGAGATGTTGAGTGGTACGAACGTAACACATATTCCGAGATGCTTTTGTTCGTTGAGTTAATAGTATGCTTCGATTTTCACAGAGACCACGCTTGTACTAGCTGTTATATGTTTGTCTATAACCCATTCTCCACTTGGCCCTGCCTTTAGAGTCACTTTGAGAATTCAAAAAAAGTGAATCCCAGCAGCCCTTCATGCCATCAGCTTCACCAAGGGGGTGCTACGTGGGGCAGGAGCTCACTGCCAGGACGCACCACAGGGGTGTGGTGTGCAAGCCACCGATTCACTGCACTGTGTTCCCCACACCACACCTATCCTTTACAATCTGGCAGGTGAAGCCCTTCCCTTGGAGTGCAACCTAGCAGCACTGCACGCCATCAGCTTCACCAAGGGGTGCTACGTGGGGCAGGAGCTCACTGCCAGGACTCACCACAGGGGTGTGGTGCGCAAACGACTCATGCCAGTCCGAATCGTGCCGTCCGGGGAAGGAGGTGGAGAGGACGTGAGGGAGGGGGTTGGGGAGGTAACAGTGTCTTCAGGGGCTGAGATAGTGGAAACAGTTTCTGGGAAGGCTGTTGGACGAGTGAATGCGGTCCTGTGCGGTTCTGAGGGTGATGGCAGTGGTGCTGGAGCTGGTGCTGGTGGTTCAAAGGAGTTGACAGGTTTGGCGCTGCTGCGATTGGCTCATGGCCTCAACCCGGGATCACAGCTGGCAGTGAAAGCAGGGAACGGGGCAGCTCTGAAAGTTTTGCCGAGCCACCCGTACTGGTGGCCAAGGGAGTGGGGCAGCGAGGAAAAATAGTGCAGGTGGAGGCTGGTCGAGTGTGACTGGTGACATGGAGCCTGTAGGAAGTGGATTTTTTACCCACTGTAGCCACACAGAATTATGTTCGTTGTATGAACGGTTCTTAAGAATTTGTACCAACTCATCCTGTTGCATGGGGCACGTGTTGCAGTTGAGATTTGTTAGTGTGCATAGAAATATTCACACAGAACACCTGCAGGCAACTCCCTTTGTTGCTCTGTTGATTGTTCTTGCCTTGTTTGATTGTCAGATATGTCTGCTCTGTTGCCTTCCGTGTTATGTTCTGCTCCCGCTTGCACCGACAGATCAATGTATGCCCTCAAATAGCGTCTATCATTTTTTATGTTTCTGTCACATCTAGTGCATGTTGTTTGCAGTGTACTCAGCTGTAATATTTTTCGCAGGTGACGATATCTCCCCACCCGCGACACAATGTGTAGGCAAGGTTGCGTGTGAAAGTTCAGCACCTTTGCAGCCAATAAAACGAGAGTCAAGTGGCCACGTGTCAAAGATCCGAGGCTATGGTGTTGCCACCTCGACGGTACGTAAGGGACACGCCATCGTCAGGTCACACGTCTCCTCCGAATTTTGCTGCCCAGCCAACTGGGTGATTTCCAGCATCTTTCCTTTTGGGCAGAGCATCTCCCGCCGTTAGCACTGACCAGATAAAACGGACTGGTGAGAGTAAGCGGGAAGGATCAAGCCAAACGGAATAGTCGAGACTCAACTCGAATCTTCCATTTTGCGCAACGTTCATCCGTCAGATCCGCAGCACCTGCTTCGAGATGGTTGTATAACCGTCGGATCGATTACAGTTGGCTATTTTCGCCTCGTGGAAATTCTCTAACGGGAAACTCAAATTAGAAACTCTGCTGACCTGGAAGTGCGGACCTGGTGTGAGAAGGAAGTGCGCTGCGCGTGTGTGTTTGTGCGTGGCGCGGTTTCCAATCGGCCCAATCATCTAAAAAATCGTAATCTCCTCTGCTCTGCTCCCATCCACTCCTGCCCAATTCCTCACATCTGCTCTAGTTGTGAGATCGAGATTTGAGACCACAGCAGCAGAAGCAAGACACAAATTTCACGCACATTTGCGCATTTCCGCTGCTTTTGAATTTGCCAGCAGGGCGCAAGTTGTCAGCAGGGGCCGTACCCTCGCCTTTCACTGCAGGCCACGCACCACACTTCGTTTGGCCACCAAGGCAGTAGAACCGAGGGCGATGTGTGGGGCTCCCTTGACCCTTCGATCCACTGGCACCAGGAGGACCCTTTCGTCAGCAACAGACTGACTGATTGGTTGGTTGTAATTACTTGCGACGAAGCAGACTGGAAGGCCGAACAGCAGCATCTAGACACAGGTGATTCGCGTAGTAGATGCGGATAATAGTTGGCTCGGGTTAGTGCGCCGCATCTCGCGTTCCGCACGCTTCCTCTCGTACCGTCTGACACGTCACGTCACCCCGTGTCGAGCCGAAAGCAGTCCGCTCAACGTGTGAAGCGAACCCAACACAGGATCTCGTCTCGTCGCTCCGAAGCCGCGCGTCTGCTTCTAGACCCAGCCATACGTCGTTCTCCCGTCACTACATACAGTGAGCTCTACATATCTCTTAAGTAACTTTGAAAGGCCATCCACATCTGTACTACTACACCACAGCAGAGCTCTTCATTACCTTCAAAGCCTGCGCTTCCCATTTTTTCACACATTTCGACGTCTGAGGCCGGCCGATCCGACCAGGCGCCATGCCGGGCCTGATCAGCATTCTATCGTCCCAGAGTTCCTCTCGCTTCGCCCACGCTTTCAGCAAGGAGAAAGAGATTCGTGTGTCGACCGCGGAAAGCGCCTCCGTTAATGTCCCCGCAAATCTAGGCCTTTCGTTAGGCCCCGCTGCTCCTTCATTCCAGCAGCAGTCGCCTCATTTACAGCAGCATTGTTTTCAACTCCCGCAAATGACCGTCGCGCAACAGTCGATCCCTCGTGGGAGCGATTCTCCGCGCATCACCTCAAATCCCGCCGGTCGTTTCGGGCTGCATCTGATTCAAGGCGACGCCTTCGACCCCCGGCCGCAAGACTCGTCGAACACGCCCGTATCATTCGCTGACGTGGCAATTCCCTCCTCGATGCACCTCGACGATTTAATTTCCGAGTATCTCGAAGAAGGCGATCAGGATCGCGACGCGCTCGACGGCTTGATGCTGAGAACAGAGCTCCACGGAGTAACGGCATCGACCACCATGCGCGCTTCGCATCCAGCACAGCCGATACTGAATCGACGGCTGTCAGCGGATTATCTGGACAGGCAGATGCAAATGGCGGAGCAAAATCAGCTTCGTTTGATTCAGGTACGGCATCGCCTCACCTCCTCAGCCATCCGCAAGCATTTGCGCATTTGTCGTTGCTCGTTTATGTCTCATATCTTGTCTAATCAGCATGTAAGGAGCAGCCTACCATCACCCCTCTAATCCCCGTATTTTTCGTTTCACTTCCTCGCGCTGTTTTCCCTCCGCAGTCGCTGGCAGCCATGGATGACTCCGTTGAGCGCGCTCTCTACGCTGACGTCATCGCCGCGATGACCGACGCGCGCGCAAAATTGTCGTGCGACGACATCCCGTCGCAGGAGCTGCGAGGGAGCAGCCTGAACGCGGCGGTCGCAGGGCGACTGCGTGCGATGGGGTACGACGCGGCGGTTTGCGCGACGCAGTGGGACACCTCTCCCACCATTCCCGAGGGTCAGTAATAACTCCCTTCTCTCAATCACCCCAGTAACCAGATTCCGTGCTATGCCATTTATTCCAATTTTGCAACTCGTTTTCTTCATGCATCGCCCGTTCGATTTTGTTCCTCAATTTCCGCACAGCTTTCCGGAATACTAACTTTCCTCCTCTTTCCTCTGTCGCTCCTGCAGGATCATACGAGTACATCGACGTCCTTACGTCCGCGAACCCGCCCGCTCCCTCGCACCCATCCGCCTCTCCCTGTTCCACCGTCTTCGATCCCATCCTCCACCGTTGTGACAACATAGCCTCCCCTCCTCCCACCTTCACACGAACCGCTCCCCCCAGCATTGTCACCCGCGCCTCCCCTTTCCTGACTAGCGCCTCCTCCGCTTCCGTCAACGGCGCTTCCGCCGCCCCCGCTTCCGCCGCCGTCCCCCAGCGTTTCATCATAGACGTTGATTTCCGCGCGCAGTTCCAGATCGCACGGCCCACGCGCGAGTACGCGGCGGCGCTCGAATCCACGCCGTTGATCTTCGTCGGGAGGTCGGAGCGGCTGGCGCGGCTGGTGGAGGTGGTATCTGGCGCGATGCGCGGGGCTTTAAGGGCGCAAGGCATGCACGTTCCGCCGTGGCGCAAGTGGGAGTATCTGCACGCTAAGTGGATGGCTGCCGTCAGCCAGAGAGTGGTGTGCGAGGCGAAGGGGGTGACTTACGAGAATTTTCAAAGTGCGAGCGGGGGAGCAGTGGGGGGAGATAAGGAGAAGGCGCAAGTGGATGGTGATGGTTACGGTAGCGAAGGAGCAGTGATTGGGGATCGGGACGCTTCAACCCACTCTGTTATCACCTCTCCTACTGTCTCTGCTGACTGTTCCGTTGATGTCCCGGCTGCTCCTGTTGCCACCCCATTTGCTGCTCGTGCTGCCCCATCTGCTGCCACTGCTGCTCCAGCTGGAAGATTTCACGCATCTGCCGTTTCTAGTGCGATCGCAGCTGCTGCTGTGGCTGCACACACATCATGCCAGCAGCAGCAGAACCGCAATCTACAATTCTCAACTGGTGTGGGTGCTGGTCTTTTCCAAGCCCGCTTTGTTCCTGCCAGACGGTTCTCTGCCCTCCAGCAGTGCGCCCGAGCAGGGGGGTTTTGAGTCGACTCAAAGCACACTTGGATATCAAATGATAACGACACGCTTCGTGCCAGCAGCAGCGCCACCTACAATTCTCGTCTGGGCTGCTAGCAGGGAGTTGTTTAGCGTTCAACCGCGTACTCATGGTGTGTGACTACGTAAATTATGTGAGCGTAATTCGCTTCCAGGGGCAATGGGATGGGATGGGAGATACCGGGGCCCCCTCCCACCCACTGATGTGAGAGGCACACTTTCAGGGCACACTTACAAATGTTACGCGGGAAGGGGCACGCCATGCAGGTGTGCCCTCTGATGGCGAGGCAGCCCGAGGTTTAGCTGCGCTGCCGCAATTTTGTCTCCAGCTGCTCCCGTCTATCACCAGAGCTGCCAATTCTGACAATTGAAGAGTTTTTATGTAGGAAAGACCATGTAGTTTTGATGTCGTGTTAACACCAATAGTGTATATTGAGCACCACAGGAGTCTGGAATAATCTTCCCAATATAGTGGTCCCACATGGGCATAATGACATGAGAGTCTTGATGCATTCATATGGCCTGACTCCTTGACATTGCAGTGCACTCCGCGATAAGCATGTTTCATAAGTACCAGTAGCTCTCAGCACGAGAGGCCCTACTTGGGCACAGTGACATTGAGAATCTTTATGTCTTCATATGGCTCTAGTTTCAACATTGCGATCTACCGTAGTAGGCACGTTCTGAACGTTGTAACTACAGTAACTCTCAACAAGAGAGGCCCTACTTGGGCACAGTGACATTGAGGATCCTGATGTCTTCGTATGGCCTGAGTCGTCGGCATTGCGATCCACTATAAGAATGTTTCAATAGTAACTCTCAAAACGAATGGCCCTACTTGGGCACGGTGACATTGAGGATCTTGATGTCTTCATATGGCTTGTCGTTACGATCCACCTTAGCCTTTTCAATAAGCTGATGCAAGAGAGGGGAGTGGGGAGAGGGGGGAGACTTCTAAATCGACTAAAAAGTCACCTAGGAGGGCTTGTCGTTGCGATCCACCTTTGCCTTCTCATTAAGCTGATAATGCATCGGGAAACGGAGGAGAGGAGGAATGTGCAGAGGCGGGAAGGGGGGAGAAGAAAGGGGGCCAAAAAGACATGCATCTTGGGAAACAGCCGGTTGGGTGCCAACAACAGAAAGGCTTGTCGTTACGATCCGCCTTGGCCTTCTCATGACTGAAGAAGTGTTTTGAGACGTCTCAAAACGCTTCTTCAATCACTTGGGAAACAGCCGTGCCAACAACAGAAAGGCTTGTCGTTACGATCCGCCTTGGCCTTCTCAATGAGCTGATGCAAGAGAGGGGAGTGGGGAGAGGGGGGAAAAAGGGGCAGGAAAAAGACCTTCCCACAAGGGCTTCTCATTATGATCCTCCTTGGCCTTCTAACCATGGGGGAAAGGAGGAGAGCAGGAACGAGGGGCAGAGGGAAGGGGGGAGAAAAGGCGTCGCACAGGTGGCAATAAAGAATGCAAGTAGACCCAAACATAGATCACATGCACCCATCTCTACTCCTCCCAACCACTCTCTCTCAGCTCACCTGTACTACATCCATGCCCTTAACCACACGCCCGAACACGGTGTGCTTGTTGTCCAGCCAAGGCGTGGCGACTGTGGTGATGAAGAATGCAAATAAACTCATACATGCATGAACCTAATGTACCCATATGTACTCCTCGCCACCCCCCTCTCTTCCTCACCTGGACGGCGTCCATGCCCTTAACCACGCGCCCGAACACGGTGTGCTTGTTGCACAGCCAAGGCGTGGCAACAGTGGTGATGAAGAAAGCAAATAAGCCCATACATGCATAACCCATCTGCACCCATCTGTACACACTCATCTGCACCAAACAATCTCCCTCACCTGTACGACATCCATGCCCTTCACCACACGCCCAAACACGGTGTGTTTGTTGTCGAGCCAAGGCGTGGCGACAGTGGTGATGAAGAATGCAAAACTCATACATACGTTAAATCAATGTACCCGTACAAACTCCTTGCCACCCCTCTCTCTCCCTCACCTGTACTACGTCCATGCCCTTAACCACACGCCCGAACACGGTGTGCTTGTCGTCAAGCCAAGATAAAGAACCCACCATACATAACCCATGTGCACCCATCTGTACACACTCATCTGCACCAAACAATCTCCCTCACCTGTACTACGTCCATGCCCTTCACTACACGCCCGAACACGGTGTGCTTGTTGTCGAGCCAAGGCGTGGCGACAGTGGTGATGAAAAACTGGCTGCCGTTGGTGTTGGGGCCTGCGTTGGCCATGGATAAAGTGAAGGGGCGATCGTGACGCAGACTGCATGGGGAGGGAAGAGGGGAGGGTAAAGGGGGAGAAAGGAGAGCGGAGAGAGGAAAGGATTGCGTGAGAAAGGGGCAGTGGCAGGGGTGATGAAGAGCTGGCTGCCGTTGGTGTTGAGGCCTGCGTTGGCCATGGATAAAGTGAAGGGGCGATCGTGACGCAGACTGCATGGGGAGGGAAGAGGGGAGGGTAAAGGGGGAGAAAGGAGAGCAGAGAGAGGAAAAGATTGCGTGAGAAAGGGGCAGTGGCAGGGGTGATGAAGAGCTGGCTGCCGTTGGTGTTGAGGCCTGCGTTGGCCATGGATAAAGTGAAGGGGCGATCGTGACGCAGACTGCAGGGGGAGGGGAGAGGGGAGCAGGGAGAAAGTAGTAGAGGAATGAAGAACAGAGTGCGAGGGGATAGAGAGAATAGCAGCAGCAACAGTGGTGATGAAGAACTGGCTGCCGTTGGTGTTGGGGACCTGCTTTGGCCATGGATAAAGCGAAGGGGCGATCGTGACGCAGACTGCAGGCAAGACGGAGAAGAGGGGAAGAAAAGAGTAACGGAGAGGGGCATATGAAGACATTGAGCAGTGGCAGTTGTGATGAAGAACTGGCTGCCGTTGGTATTGGGGCCACTTTTGAGTCGACTCAAAAGTCTCATTAGAACTGACTGCCGTTGGTGTTGGGGCCTGCATTGGCCATTGATAGCGTGAAGGGGCGATCCTGTTGCAGAATGCCCGGGGGGGAGGGAGCACAGAGGAGGGGGTAAAGGGGAGAGAAAGGAAGGCAGGTGGGGGGGAAAAGGGAGGGAGAAGGTGAGGAAGGGGCAGAGAAAGGAAGGCAGGTGGGGGGGAAAAGGGAGGGAGAAGGTGAGGAAGGGGCAGAGAAAGGAAGGTAGGTGGGGGGGCAAGGGGAGGGAGGGTGATGAAGAACTGGCTGCCGTTAGTGTTGGGACCTGCGTTGGCCATTGATAGCGTGAAGGGGCGATCCTGCTGCAGGTTGTAGGGTAAGGGATATGAGGGGAGGGAATGGGAGAGAAACAAGGGAAGGGAAACAATGAAGAGAGGATGAGCAGTGTCGAGGGGGGGAAAGGAAGAGAAAAAGGGAGGGCAAGGCAAGAGAAAAGGGGAAGAACGTGAGGAAGAGAGAATGGGGAAGGAGCATACACACACTCACGCACGCACACACACGCACGCATGCACACACACGCGCGCGCACGCGCGCGCGCACACACACACACACGCACACACGCACCCACACTCATACATACACTCATAGTCACACACAGACTCCTTCCCAACCCCTTCCACCCCCTCCCAGCCCACCTCTTGTGGAACTCGCCTCCCCAGATGCTCTGGCCGCCCGTGCCGTCCCCCAGCTGCCCACACCTAATCGCATAAAACCTATCTCCACCCCTCTCCACCCCTCTCCACCCCGCTTCCAACCCACCTCTTGTGAAACTCGTCGGCAAACTCGCCTCCCCAGATGCTCTGGCCGCCCGTGCCGTCCCCGAGGGGGCAGCCGGTCTGCACCATGAAGCCCTTGATCACGCGGTGGAACAGCAGCCCCTCATAATAGCCGTTGCTGCAGTGTGTGGTGAAGTTTTCGACAGTTCGAGGGCATTCCTCTGGGTATAGTTTCAGGTGGATGTCACCCATGGTGGTGTGCATGACCTGTGGGGAGGAATGGGGAGAATGAAGCAAAACCAGGGGAGAGGATGAAGAAAGAGTAGGAGGAAATGAAGCCCCTGATGACCCGGTGCAACAGCACCCCCTCATAGTACCCGTTGCTGCAGGGCGTGGTGAAGTTCTCTACTGTGCGCGGGCATTCCTCTGGTAAAGTTTAGCACCCCCTCGTAGTACCCGTTGCTGCAGCGCGTTCTCTACGGTTTACAGGCACTCCAATGCAATGCAAGGCAATGCGAGAGCGAGGCAATGCGAGAGCGAGGCAAAGCGAGAGCGAGGCAATGCGAGAGCGAGGCAATGCGAGAGCGAGGCAATGCGAGAGCGAGGCAATGCGAGAGCGAGGCAATGCGAGAGCGAGGCAATGCGAGAGCGAGGCAATGCGAGAGCGAGGCACTCACCACACTGTCAGGCAAAGCGGATGCTCCGGTTCTTGCCACATCCGCCAGGGCAAGCATTTCTTCTGGTGGAGGCTTCTCGTTGAACACGTCCCTGCCCTGTGATGGCTCCTCTCCCTCCTCTGGCTCGCGCTGACTGGTGGTGGTGACATGGGATTGAGTGCGGTGGAAGGGAGTGCAGACGGGTGAAAAGGGATAATCGGCATGTAAGGTTCACAGCAAGCATCTCCTCCGGTGGTGGCTTCTCGTTAAACACGTCCCTGCCCTGCGATGGCTCCTCTCCCTCCTCTGGCTCCCGCTGGCTCCCGCTGACTGGTGGTGGTGTGGGATTGAGTAAGGTGGAATGTGGTGGAAGGGAGTGCAGACGGGTTAAAAGGGAAAACTGGCATGAAAAGCTCAGGGCAGGCATCTCATCTGGTGGTGGCTTCTCGTTAAACACGTCCCTGCCCTGCGATGGCTCCTCTCCTTCTTCGGGCTCCCGCTGACTGGAATGGAGAGGGGTGGAGAGGGGTGGAGAGGGGTCAGAACAAGCATGAGAGCATCTCTTCAGGTGGAGGCTTCTCGTTGAACACGTCTCTGCCCTGTGATGGCTCCTCTCCCTCCTCTGGCTCGCGC